GTTCGTGGCACTGTGGATAATAGAGTATATTTTATAGTTGAAGAATTAGAGATAACATCCATGTTTGCATTAACTGTGTACTGAGCGACTCTCCTGTTCATGAAAAGTGAGTTAAACTAAGTTCAGACACATCTAATGGAGGTTTCTCTTGACAAGTCTGTCCAAATATTGCTTGCTATGGTATTCAGATACACTGACCAACTCTGTGTTTTATTGCTACATGAAGTAAATGCATTCTCATAGGGACTGTACAAATACTTTTATATAACTTTTTACACATACTTTTATTAATACTTCTGATAAAACAGGAGAGTTATATAATTGAGAGCATAAAACACATGATATTTTTTTCATAAACATTACACCATTTGCATTTGTTGATGTTGTTGACCCCTGCTGTGATATTGCTGGAATATTGCTAAAAGCAGCGTAAAATCAAACTCACTCACTCATTCACATAATTAAGTTAAATCAAAACACTTGTTATCTCTTGATGTTTCCTTTCATGTATGTTCTCTCTGTCCTTTCATGCTTTTAATAGGTTTTTTATATAAAACAGAACAAAAGTTGTAATAATTAAAATATTCTGTTGTTTTTTTATCATCTGTTCATCTTTATTCTTTATCCTTCCCCCAGTCTGTTTTGTCTCATTTTCTAATAAAAGCTTGTTTCCATAATCCATGAATCAATTTCCAAATTTGACCAGTGCCCAGAATACATTACTCTCGAACCTTGACTTCAAAAAACAAGATAAAGTGCACTTGGTGAAAAAACAGAATATCAAATGAGAGACTGAATCATCAATCATATTTTTTGAAACATTTAATAAACATGCTGGAATCTTGTAGAATCCAAACCAGTCGAATTGAGGAAGACAGGTAGTTGATCAAATTGTTGTAAAGACTGTCCATTCTGGCAGCACATCCAAACTGAAATTTAACTCTAGGCTAAACTAATTTGCATGATTTCCTGAATTTTGAAGCAAGACTGTTGTCTTAAAACGCTTCCTCCATGTTGAGGGACAGAACAAAGAAACTGCATGCAATGGATTGATTTTACAATTAGCCACTTGATGTCCACATAGGCTTGGGAGGTATTACAGTCAGCTATGGACCTGAGTTTATGACAAAATTTGATGGAGTAACAGATTAACGAAGATGGAGCCTTGGGCTTCGTCAAGGCAGACATCAAAAGAAGCAATTTAGAACAAAGGGCTTATAATCATGATTGAAATTAGGGTTTTGTGGAAAGCAGAAACATGGTGAAAGCTCGGACTGGCGTTGACATGAGGAAATGATTTTGTCTCAGTGAACTCCTCCAAAAAACATTTATTATTCTGGTCCAGTGACTGTTTCCGGTCTGGGATGCAATTAATTTAAAATAATTTGATTAAAGTTTCAAAATTGAATTTTGTAATTGGAATTAATTATTGTTTATGAGGAATGAATTTTATTCTTTCAATGCACTTTCATGCACTGATAACATATTCAATGCCTAGGGAAAGATTTGTAAAAATTTAATTTCAAATTTGCAAAAAAACACCAATAATTCACCAAATGGTACAATGATTTTGGGGTCATACAGTTTACAACACTTTGTAAAGTAGAAAGTTTGATGAAATCAGTACACAGCTGTAGTAAGGTTATAGATATGAACCGAATATCCTTAATGATTTAATGGTGATCATTATATACGCTAAATCATAAGGATATAAGATTTGATTCCTGTTATATAAATGATCAGGATATAATCAAGTTTGGTACATACCACTACCAACATCAGGTCCTTTAGGGGATATTTACCTTGATGTTAATTGCAATATTGAAGTGTCAATACAAAGTATCGTCAGTTTCCTGTTATGTGAGTGGCATGTTTTTACAGACATATGTACATATCCTGTTATTGACAGGCGTGGGAGGCAGGTGGGAGAGACGTACAGGCGGTTCCACGGAACGTCGCTGGTTCAGTCATTAGTTTGATGGCACTATGTCTTGAATATGCTTTAAAAGAAGGATATTGAAGAATATGATTTGGAATAAATGTCGGTTTTGAAATGAGTTTAAATATTAGATGGAAAAATGTATCATATTATCAGTAGGGCTGAAAGAGGGAAATGTGAAGAACAGATGTAACCATATGATGGTCAATATACTGCACATTTCTGTATGCTAATTAGGATCTTATCATGGTTTGTAAATGCTTTCAGCATTTATTTTCATTTTTAATGGTTTCCATCAGGAATAAATTCATTGCCTCATGTCATAAACATTAGATATTTTAAGTATTTTTAACATATCTGATTATTGTTTAGGTCAGAAATACGAATCATTTATTATCCTGCAGTGATGCAGATATCAGGCACTCTCGGCATGGGTATTGGCTAAAAATAACTTTAGGTCACAAGTTATTGAAATAATCCATATCTTCATATGTAAAACTGTATTAGAGTAGGAACCAGATTATTTGAGAAGGGTTTCAAATTGTTATATGACCCAGATGTTGTGAATTGGTGGGTGTGAGTGAGTTTGGTTTTATACCAATTTAGCAATATTCCCACAATAATATGCAGGCAACACCAGAAATGGGCTTCAATCATTGTATCTATGTGGGGAATCAAACCCGGGCGTGATGAGCAAATGCTTTAACGACTACCCTACCCCACCTCTCCCAAATTGGTAAGAACAGAGATACCTCTGTGTAGAGTTAGGCAAATCAGTTGTACACGCAAACATGTCAAGTCTTTAATATTACTATTATATTAATGAACGATGATGGCTATGTGAATTATATCAAACATTCAAGTAAATATTATGACTGTTAATAACAAAGACATCACAAGAGAATATATTCCCACTCAAACTTTTATCCTGCAATGAAATAAATTTCATTTCCTTATATCAGGATAGCGTTCTTTCAAACATGTGAAATAAATCAATTTTATAGATATGCTATAATTGTTTATTCATAAAAGTTTTGACATAGACATGTGTTGGAGCCAGAATATATAATAACTTGACGTGCAGCAAACTCATGAATTCCATGTCAGTATTCATTCTATCAAACCATTCTGTATCTATTTCAGTCTCAGATCATTACCTTCATGCTCAAAATATCATTCAGTATATTTAAACAGTTACAAGTATTTTCTTACTGCTTTGAGGCTAACTAGTATTGATTGTCTCACCATAAACAATTCATGGCCAATGAAAGAAATCATTCTGTCGAGAACAGATCCATTGTGCAACAAATCTATTTTTGCCGGGGACAATAAAGGTGATTTATTATCAAGTGTACTGGTTCCATTACACCATCCACAAGACACTCTCAAGGAATCAATTGGATAAGAATGGTAAAGGAATGCCACACTAAACTATCGACTGGAAAAACTTCGGAGAGTTTGCTCCATATTTGGGCGCTGCTGTGACGTTATTGGTTCCAAAAATGGTCAATTATCTGGGAATTGCAAAGTGTAATTTGTTCCAGACTGGACAAGGGTCATGACTGTGCCGAAGCGAAGTAATACCAGTTATAGGCATCTTTGTGATGTAGAACAACAAATATGTCTGTTGGCTAAGAAGTCTGATGAACCATTGTTACAAGTGGACTTTTGTCCGAGTCTACTCAACAGTTATAGGTCTCTGTGTTTGTGTATGGTATTAACATTGCCGGAATGTTTGCTTTGAAGTTATTCAAGACAAATTGGATCTGTGATTAAACAGTTGAAAATAGTGCTGTATGTGTGAGCTAATAATTCTTTTATGATTGGAATACTGTGGAAATACTGTCTTGAGACTCTCTCGGGCTGAAAAACTCTGCACCGGTGCGGAAACTGCTGAATCGTGATTCGAATATTGTCAGATTTATAACCACCAGATCAAAGAATCCTTTAAACAATTACGCAAGCTGAGACACCTAATATGCTAATATGCTGCCTGTTCAAGAAGATTGTTAAATTTACTGCTGGAAATAATTAACTCAATTTCCCTTTCTAAAGAGTAAAGTCAAACTGCGTTATCATTTTTTTCAAATGTAATCAATGTTTAAATTATAAACCTGACATTTCTGTGACCTTTGGGAATATGAGAGAAAAAAGTGAGTTTTTGTGTGCATGGAGTACACAATGTCTACTCAACCATTCAAATAGCACCTTTATTCCTTAATCTGCTAAGGGTTGAGATATGAGTTTGTGATGACCGGTGCTGGACAGGTCAGCACTCATGCTGTCCCTGCATAGTGAAAGACATACATTGTGTCCAGTGGAATGTGAATGTCCACAATGAGGGGTGGAGGGTCAGTGGTCAGTCCAGATTTTCCTATCATACTCCCTTTTCTCTGTCAAGTCTGCTTTGTCAGGTAAAGCCTTTCACCGTATACAGAGTTCCCTCATGCTAATGTCTGCTTTGATTCATGCTTGAGGTCTTCATACACCACTGAAATTTGTTGGGCTGTTGCGATAAGGCACCAAGCTCGGGATTACTTTCAAGCGAAGTGAAGAAATTTGATTGGATGTGATGTTTTTGTTTCTTGATGCTGATGTGGTCATTTCGGACTGCTAGCATCTTAAGGGATGCTGACAGACTTGAATTTGAATTGATGCGCAGATGAGGTTGTGAAAAGTGCACCACTTCCTAGAGGCAGATCATGATTAAACATCAAAGGCAGTTTTTGGAGCTGAGTTGACAAGGCTGTAATTCTAGCACTCAGACACACTTTGAACGGTATTCATCCAGCTTGGATTTCATCGAGAGACACATTGCATGATTAAAACTTAATACTTAATACTAACCGTAATTAGATACAAAGTTCCCTTGCTGAACAGTTCGTGTTCTGTAATGCACAGAGTATGTGACTTTACCCACATCATATTAAAACTCAGGATATCCTGAATGAAAGTGCAAGTTTGAGCCGGAGAATCAAAACTATTCGTCACTGTTTTAAAGTGCGAGGACAGTGAATATGCACACACACACACACAACCATTAGCTCTTGTGATCTGGTTTAAACCTGACTCTCCAGCCAGCTATAATTATCTTGTCCTGAGGTAGTGAGACGGCTCAAAAATATCTGCGGTGACAGAGCCTTGAGTTGTGGGTAAAGTTCAGAAGTCACTGTCAAGCGTGGTTGCCTTCACGGGGGGACACTCAGGTGCAACATCAGTGTCGTACAACCCTGTACGGAGCTCCAGGGATCAACAGCTATTGGGATTCAAATGGTATCTTCGCCTCTCGTTGGGACGAGCTTAGATGTACTATCACCCCCTGGGCAGGTGAACATCGAAATATGTCAGCTTGATTTGAGTTCTCTGATGCAATCCTGCATATTATGATACACCTGGAGTATGTATTGCAGCTACTGAAACCAACAGTGTTTACCAGGTAGATCAAGTGGTGGTGTAAGCCACAAAGTGGATGGTCGCAACTTGAATTGTTTGCCTGGCTGCAGGTGTGAATGTTTGCAGCTCAATTAATATGCAGGATCTGACTGACGTGGAAAGTTTTACAGAGAAGTTCATGGCCGTAAAAAGGGTTTGGTGATTACATCATTCAAGAGTTTGAGGATCTTCATAAACATTGTAATGCATGACAGATCCTGTTGTCAGCGAGTGCAGATTTTTTGCAGTTGCATTGGTGCATATTAAGTCCTGCTGAGTGTTGATATAACTGACAAACCTTGATTCCATGATCAAGCAGACCTCATAAGCTGATAAGAAGATCTACGTCAGGAGACGCTTCTTTTACGTGCCAGCATGTGTTGTGTCATGGGGAAATTACTTCCTACTGATTATAGTCTTTGACTATTTTCGCAGAAATAATATGTATTTTTATGTCTTCTTTGATGACTTGCCTGTTTAATTCATCTGTATGGATAAGTTTTCATTTTCATGCCATGATGTCTGGCAAACTTAATGAACTTTTCATATAAAATCTTTTTAAGTGAAACTTGTATGACGCATGGAGTAGTTATCAAACAGCAGACCTGATGGCTTGCCAGCATATATGATCTTGTAATACATAGCTGTTGACATCTGGTGACGTGCATTGCAAGAGGATTATTCTTTTGCTGTGGAAATCAATCTGTGTCTGAAGACCATAGACATATACTCGATTTTGGAAAAGCTACTGGCCAGCAATTATTGTGGCATTTCTGAAACTTGCGTGATATCGGATTAATCTTCATCATATGCAAATCAGACGTCACGGCAAGGAAGTACAAGGACTATATTGTGAAGCGTCTAACTGAGAAGCCAGGACATCAAAGTGAACTGATTGACATGGGATCATAATCTGTAGGTGTGACATAACCGTATGGACAGATAACGAGAAATCAACACCTGTCTGTTTCACTTGTTGTGGGTGTTTTGCCTGTCGTCACAAAGAGTGGCGTACATATCTGTAAGCCAGCTGTCACAAGGCTTTTGAAAGTGACCTGATATGTACATGAATCTGGTGAAGGAAATGTAAACAATCTGGGACCTTAGTGTATAATCCAAGAAATCTACATGCTATTGACGTCATTTGAAATAGACATTTGACAGCTGTTGAAATATACATAAAAAGTGTATACTTCATGAGATCCTATCCATGTGGCCAATTCAGTGCTACATTCATACATACTGGCCGTGACATTCTTTTACACTGACAGGAATTGTTTTTGAAATTTTGACACTGATTAATCACATTTTTGGGGATTTGAAAGGTGACTGTGGAATTTGTTTACAGTTTTTCGGAATCATAACACTGTGCCGTTGGACAGACCTCCACAGTGGTTAATGAATTGGATGTATTTCATTAACACCTGAAGTCCAACCAAGTGTATCTGACCTTCCCATCAGTGGTAGCCAGTGTTTATCTAGGTTTATTAAGCAAGTCTGGATCGTTTTAGTGTGTTGTGACAGGTTGACGTGGCCTGAAATAGACGAACTATGAAATGCACGCAATAAGTCTGTCCCAGGAGTGATGTAAACTTGCTTATCGACAGATTTACTGCTCTGTTATATTCCTCTGTGTTGTTTTGTGGACATTACACCGAGGACAATGTCATCCCTCGGTCGCCATCCAAGCTGCATCCACTTTCCTAAGTTGGAGAAACTCCACCGATTGCTGAGAAAGGTAAATAACGTAACTGATGTTTTATCAAAATGTTTTATGTTTGAGTGAGTATGGTTTTACGCCTCTTTTTGCAATATTCCAGCAATATGACGGCAGGGGACACCAGAAATGGGCTTCACACATTGTACCCATGTGGGGAATCGAACCCGGGTCTTTGGCGCGACGAGCAAACGCTTTAACCACTAGGCTACCCCATCACCTCTTAATGTTTGAGATATAATAAGTGATATCAGATGCATAACCCGTTTTAAATTTCTCATTTAAGTTTAAAATGGTGATAGATGTTATCTTTAAAGACATGAAACTTATATGTGTAACAACTTCTTTATTTGTAACAACAATTCAGAGATACTCCTTGCCCCTTCATCAGTGATGGGTGGTGGGGTAGTTTAGTGCCCCGGGTTCGGTTCCCACATAGGTACCCATTTCTGGTATCCCCGGTGATATTGCTGGGATATTTGTAATAGTGGCGTAAAACAATACTCACCCACCAACTCACTCCGCAGATGAATATCTGTAAAAGTTTCATCGTTCATCGTTTTTCAAATTTCTCCCTGCCTTTCATTGTGTGGTCCAGTTCTATATATATGTGCTTGCATACATTAAGGTTGTTAGTGAGTGAGTTGGATTTTTAATGCTGCTTTGGACAGTATTCCAGTGATATCATGGTGTGTTAGCTTAATGTGAGAGTAAAACCTGACGTGATGCAGGTCATAGACGTTGACAACTTTGGTGAAACCCACAAGTAGGGGTATTGTGCTGGCAAACCTAGAAACACTATTGGGACAAATCGGGATTTGAAACCACAATCATAGTTTTCTGGCATGCCCAAGGGAAGCAACTCTGCATAATGAATTGCAGCACCTTGGAACACCCAGGGTCACCCGTGGCCTCTTAAGGATAATGTTTAGACTGAGATACTTGAATACATGTTGATTGCACATTTACAAAAAAAGATCAACAGAAATCATTGTTTGGTTCATTATGACGCATCATTTTTTACTTTAACACATAATTTTTTATTGTTTTATCGTTTTTATTGATTTATCCATCATGTATTTGATACTCAAAATCTACAGTACCGTACTGAGTTGGTTTTGTTGCTATAACCATGTCAAAGATATGAAATTAATATTTCATCCTACAAATATTGTATTTGTAAATATCTGTCAACTTCATTAATTGAGTTGTTAGCACATGACAAGAGTATAAACAGAATATAAACCGTTTTGTCTCGTGATGAAACGTTACATCAGCGTGTTACATTGATCAAAGGTTGTACTGTATAACGAAATACCCAATTATACCAGCAGCCTTAATTGACAACAAATAAGCCATGAAATACCTCAAGGGGTTAATGTGTCAATATTGATAATCAATTTCACATGTTCTACCCAATACCCTACGAGAAAGTGTAAACACCATGTGAAATAAGCGTAGGTGTTTATGGGCTGATAACGTCATTAAGACTCCAAACCCTTAACTCTTATCAGAAAATGACTGAAATTTATACCCAATTACAGAGTTATGAACAAGCTATCGATGACCCCAGGAGCTATGTTAGTGTAATGGGTGGGAATTGACCTGGTCAGACAGTGCTGGTCAATATTTGGAGGAAACAGGCAATAATAATTTATTGTAGGTGATAACTACATCCATTTCCTTTTGAGATGAGAATGGATGTAGGCAATATTCTTCAACTAGAGTTTAGCTCACCCTATCAGTGGTTTAGAAAGAGATGATGGTACTGAATCAGCTACATAACATCCATTTCCTTTTGAGATGAGAATGGATGCAGGCAATATTCTTCAACTAGAATTTAGCTCACCCTATCAGTGGTTTAGAAAGAGATGATGGTACTGAATCAGCTAGATAACATCCATTTCCTTTTGAGATGAGAATAGATGGAGGCAATATTCTTCAACTAGAATTTAGCTCACCTTATCAGTGCTACAGAATGAAGTGATGGTACTGAATCAGCTAGATAACATCCATTTCCTTTTGAGATGAGAATGGATGGAGGCAATATTCAACTAGAGTTTAGCTCACCCTATCAGTGGTTTAGAATGAAGTGCTGGTACTGAATCAGCTAGATAACATCCATTTCCTTTTGAGATGAGAATGGATGCAGGCAATATTATTGTCAGACAGAGGTTAGGCATGAATAGATCTTCCTGTATCAGCTGTTCTTGTTAATGCTGTATATATGGACACTGTATCACATAGGATATATCAGGATGGGTATTTCACACTAGACTGACGTTTAATTCAACACTAGTTTTTAGCTCACCTTATTCAGGAATGAGGATGAACCTTGATGCTAAATCCTATCAGAAAATTATAGTTTGGCGAATGTAGTCTCTGTAAAATTAACCATTAGGATGAAATTTTCTCTTATCCTGTTTTTGTTCAATATTCAGGTTTATATTCTATATAATAGGAGTATAGTAATTCTACAATTAACTGAAGTTTCAGATAACCATGTGATGTAGGTTTAGTCTTCTGACACGTTTATATATCAAATTTCTGAAGGTCATTTGAAGGATAACCACCATCAAGCATGGGAAGACAATACATTGTTCACAGTTTCTCTGACTTAATGCAACATCAAAATTTCGAAGCTCATGAGTCAATACAAAAAAAGCAAGATTTCAATTTATGTTTTTGCTTATTCAATCAATTCATTCGCCTGTCTTATCACAGCTATTTAACAGTTGAAAATCATATCCTCTTGTTTTTCAAACATCTGTCCTATTGCTATGATAATCAATTTTCACACATACCCTTACCAACCCTTATATACTCCCCATGGAGCTGAGAATGTAATGTGATTTTATATTATCTATCCACTGGAGTAATAATGATGCCCCAGTACTTATATACTCCCCATGGAGCTGTGAATGTAATTTGATTTTATATATATCCATCAACTTGGGAAATAATAATGCCCCAGTATTTATATACTCCCCATGGAGCTGAGAATGTAATTTTAATTCATATTTATCCATCAACTTGGGAAATAATGAGGCTCCAATACTTGCATACTCCACAGGAAGTTGAGAATGAACTTTTTGTTTATATGTATATTAGATATTTTGACAAAATGTAAGTAGGAAAGGTTAAAACTGAGACTTTTTCCAAAATGTCCAGGTTTTACAGCTGAAAGTAGTGTTAGTATGTGGCTATATCTTCTGTAGTTGCTGCATTTAAGGAGCCGATGCTGTCAAACCCCTGGACAATATCCTACATGTGATAGCAATACATGCCATTATGATACAGAACATATTTATCTCGGAACACCTGTTTATTTGCCCAGAACACAGTTCTGAGAGAAAGGCCATACTACGCAGAACGTTATACCAACATAATACAACAGATTGATAAATATAGCAGCGTGGGCTACAAGCTTTGTTTCACTCGTACATTTTGATTTCAAGGAATCCATTGTTCAACAAATACTAGATGTATATAGCATATTCTACTCATTACTCATATCGACTGAAGGAAATGACACGCCAACAGCAGTGTGAAATGTCTTAACCTACGGATTACATCTTAGCCGGCATACAGGGAATAAAGGCCTTAATATAAAAAAATTCATGAAATAATCCAATTTTTATTTTACTTTTTTAAACCTATTTGATATTTAACAACTAAGTTAAAAAAAATTTAGTCAAGACCAATTTCATTTATTCTTATTCTTGGTCAGTATGTCTAAATAGAAGTTAAAATATCAATATAAAGATGTCAAGGCTGATTAGAGGTTAATATTGCATGAATATAACTATCATTATTAGTAATATAAACAAAACGATGTGAAGAAAACATATTTTCAATCAAAAACATTATTTTTCATTTTTTCTTTACTTAACAAACAATAAAGAATAAGGAACATCATTTAGATGTTTGCAGCAGAATGAAGCTGCAAATTAAAAAAGGTCACTTACAGCTTAGGTTTATTACACTCATTTGTAAGCTGCATGTGTTTCCTTGTGCAAAGGTGCAGCTAAGCCCTAAAGAGCATGCGAGGTATTCGTAGGTCTTTCGACACGTTCGTGGTAGACCACTAGGTGCAGTGACGATGAGAACATGAGGTGGCCATCACTTTAATGTATCAACATGTTACATATGTGAAATGCCTTCAGTTGTGTATAAGAGATCCGGAACTGGCAAGGTATATTCTAAGTCGGTATGTAGGTAAACGGTACCGAGTTACCTCAAGAGAGCTGTACACGAGTTAGAATCTCTCCCAAATGATCATCTCTTTCCACTTATGTCTGGGGACTTCTTTGGTAAATAAACAGTTGGTGTAATTGTTATCAGCATTCTTGTTGATGGTGGTAAATATCTCAGATCAATATTGTATATGATGAAATAAACATGTTTTTGTTTGTACATGGTTGTCGACATGTGGTAGAATTTGGCGGGATATTTCTCGTCCTGTTGGGGATGATATGTGTATGGAGTATTGATGGGTTGTTGTGGAGGTGTGAGACATGTTCATCAACAACACAGAGCTATCTTCATGTCTGGATCTGTCTCTTAGGAACTAGAGAATGTCAATCGTAGCTTGTTTGTGAAAAATATTCCTGATGATATGATACTGCCAAACCTCGATTTCTAATTGACTAGTTTTGTAAATTTGGTAAAATAACTTCAGATCAATTGAATATAAACATGAAAATATCTTCCCAATTGACAAATTTGAAATAATACTGTTTGTGTTCAGTTACATATTTTATTGACTAAAATCTTATTTTAAGTCTCAGTGTGTAGCATATTGGCAAAAAAAATTTTAAAAAAGAGTTTGTCTTTACTTTGATATTTTATTCACAAAAATCTAATTTATATCTCAGTGTGATGCATGTTGTCAGTAGCAATCAATCTTGTCAGTTGTCACCCTGTCACGTGCTGTTGACAACACCTTGTTCATGTCCAGATAGTTTCTCTAAAGTTATATAAAGCCAGCCATATGCTAACTCTTTCTTAATCTGATTGTG